TAATAGATAAGAGGAAGGTGTACTTCCCATAACAACGATTTCCCTTTGTAAGTAGACTTTTGAATGCTTCTTGTGTTCAACACGTCAACAAACGAAAATCGTTTAAAAAGTAACGCTAATGTATCAGGAAGAAAAATAAATTTTCCTCTTCTTGTGTGCATTTTCGCAACTTGGCAAACATGACAAAAGATAGCAATAGTTTCGTATAAAATATTTTCTATACTATCCTCTACCTGTGGTATGTCATCTAGCACAGATAAAGGAAGTGATGTGAACGTTTCAGGGGGGGCCATTTTCATGTCCTGAACATTCCAAACAGGTCTTTCGAAACTGTATTCCTACCTGAAAGTGACTACCAATTTCTTCGTTCATACCACTTCGTGAACAACACAAGGAAGTAAAACTTTCATGAATATCACATTGTTCTCCGGGAGCATATTGTAGTTCACATTGGAAAGCATTGTGAAGCTCTTTGGGGTAGAACGAACCATGATTACCAAGACTGTCTATCTTACTAAGGGCACTCGTTAATGCGGTAGTTAGAGGCGACTCACTAGATTCTTTTACATTATCCAAAAGACAATTTTTTATTGGTAGATTATTCATACACTGCACTAGGCTATTTAACCAACAATTGTTCTTTCTATTTTGCAATCCTACAAAGTCGTTGCTTTCTGATGTATGCAGGTTGTTTTCAAACTTCATAAACTTCTTATCTTTTGAGTCCGTTTCAGAAGAATTTACGCTTAGTAGCACGTTCTTGGCGTAGTTTGTTTGTTTTATCTGCTAAATCATTTGAGTCTTGATTGCAGAGCCACTCAGTTAATCACTTCCTGTTCGCCTGGTGTTCTGCATTACTCAATCTTTGTTTACCATTCTTATTAGGATTCTTATTATTCTTTTGACATTTGTTAGCATTTGTCATCAAACATTTCTTTTTCTTACCGCTTGCTATTTTGCTGGAAATTGGAGTTGTTATCTTTCGCGCTTTTTTATTGCTCTTCACACAATCTGTGTCCGTAACGTTACCTTGTCCTGATATCCTCTACGTCGCTTTTTCTTGCTAGATTTCTTTTTTAAATCAGGATCTTGACTTAGCGGTATTTTGGGAGACTGCTGATACTGTCCCAACCTTGGATTTGTTTTGGGAGTTTCAGGGTCTCTCTTTCCCCATGTTTCTTCAGCATTATGATAATCATGTTTCTGTAAATCTTCGCTGTATTCTTCAGTTGAAACTGGAAGTGGGTCATCAGCATCTTTTTTCTTCCTTTTGTACAATCTTTTCGGTTTTGCCTGCTTGCAACTATCCAACCTGTCAGAATAATCAATAATTATTCTTCTTATCCGCTCATAATTTTCTGAAACAAAAACATCTGCCCGAAGATATTTTGGTCCAGGAAAATCTTCTTGCTTTAAATTTCTCGTTACTCCCTCCACATATCCTTCTGTTTTTGAGTTTGCTGATGTGCAGGACAAAAAGGGATGTTTTGTTACGGGATTTTGAGTTTTTGGCACACGATTCTCTTTATAACGTTCTAACGACCCTAGCAAAACTCCTGACCACAAGGCCATTTCTGGTAAATAAGACTTCAGGAACTCCATGAATTTAGGGCAATAACTTCTGTTATCTTTTAATTTTTTGTTTATGTTTTGAATGCTATCTTTTTCCACATTAAGCACTACAACGGATAACTTATTTTTAAAAAAGGTGTTAAACGGGTTGGCATTGCTCTTGACTTGTAGCAAGTCCTCCTTTCCTTCGTCTAATTCATTCGGTTTAGTTTCGAAATTTGATAATTTTATTTCTCTCTCCACGTTCATATTTTTAATTCTGCCTTTAACTCTACGATATGAAACTAACAACATTTTCGTTTGTCTTTTACTCAGGAGGCATATAGCGATATCTTCAAGAATGGTGCGAAATTTATGCAATGTTCTTGCGTTCACTAATAGTGAGACAGAGTACATACTAAAACGATACCAAACATCATGTTCTTCTTCTTCATCAGAATGTTCTTCATCTTTTTTGGTATTGCACTGTTCACGTGAAATTGCCTGTACCTTTTGGTGTATTATGTGCATAAAATGACTGCATCAAAATCTTTTTCTAACCCATTTTTGTTCAGTATGCGAAATGCTCGTTTTAGAAAATCACTAAAATTTTTGTTATTGAATTCTCTCAAAACAGCCAGTAAAATAGCTCTGGAATAATCAGTGTTCAATTGTCGAGGTGATATAATCCGCCCACTGAAGGTCTTAGATTCATCTTGTCGGAAACGATCAAGAAATGTACGTATATTGCAAGCTCTTTGGTCAGTTGTGACCATTTCTGCTACTGGAACTGAGGGATTCCCTTAACATGGGCGTCGGACAACTAATGCGTAGTACAGTACTCGTTTACCATTACCATTGGCAATTATCGTTCCAGTTGCATCTAAGTATGACACATCTCCACATCTCTCATGCCATAATCGAACTTGATCTTCTGTCCACATGTGAACAATTAATGGAATGGCGGAAATTCGCGTGATAATTCCTTTTCTACCAGATGTGTCCTTACTTTATGAAGCGATGTGAACAAGTCCTTGTCCATTTGCGACAGTTGGCGACCTTCACTTGCAATTTTTCTGTCAGTTGTTGGATGGGTACCGCAACCAGTTCTATTTCCTGACGCCAGGGCGTCCTTTGGCAAGCCTGCTTTTTTTTCTTGATATACCATTGATGGTTTATCGTTGCCCTTATGAAATTTTTCAATCATTGCTTTCCTTTGGTCTCCTTTAACAAACCGAGCTTGTCGTTCACCTGCTGCATGCTTTACTGACCCATTTATATACGATATTTATCAATTTTGTCTCGAAATCTTCTTTCTTCATGTTCAACTCGAATGTACAAGAACAATCCATTAAATATGCAAAATCCAGAAGCAGTAAATACGTAAGGAAATCATCTCTTCCTGGAATTTACTTTTTGTACGAAATGCCTTTGAAAATCAAACGTACAAAAAGCATTGGACCTCGAAATATGAGAAGCCAATACATCTGACCAAGAATTTTGCAATTGCATTGGTTGTGAAGGAACCGGCTTAATCCTATTCCATTCTTCTTCACTTAACTGAAAACTAGCTTTCTTAGGCACATCCATCTGAAAAAAAGAAGTGTTTGGTAGTTTTGGGCAGTCCAACATTTGACTCATTGTCTCATGTGAAACACACAATTCATTCGCAGCGGTTGCCGCCGAGCCGATCGTTTTGAAGAGAATTTTGAATGAGAATTTTGAATCAGCCAAAATTGTTCTTGCAAGCCGGCCCAGTTTTTGTGCCATAGATCGTAAGTAACCCTTCGTCTAGTATCAGTATTAGAAAGACCAGACTTTTGCACAACATTTCCCCAGAACCCATTAGGGTTTCGCCAACCTTCACTCGGATCCCCATCGCACTGAACCATATTTTGAAGCATTTTCTCCACGGCCATAGTGTATGTTTTATCGCGTTTTACTTTTGTGAATACCTTAGGAAAATATAACAATGCAGATCTTATGTATTGTTTGTCATTCAGAATATTGAAATTAAATATAACTAAGAATATGTTATGTTGTGTTGTTGTTCAATCTGTAATAAGACAAGTTGAAAATGTTCTCGAGTATGTATTTCATAATTTCCAGATTCCAGACCGTGTGATATCCTTCTGCTTGCGTGCGGTCTGGAAGTTATGAAATACACACTCGAGAATATTTTCAACTTAATTAAGAATATGTATAACATCTATAATATGTATAATGTACATATATATTCCACTAGATAACATTGTAAAAGTATAATGTATATGCTCACCATTTCATCCAATTGCAAAGCAAAGCCAAAGTGAAAAAATTGTGCAGTTATATAATATATATCTCTGTATAACTCAGTACGTATTCGTGCCTCTTAGTAGATGTGATCACAATATGACGCAATAGGAAATCTAACAAAGCTTCTATATCCACGAATCATGTGTTCTGTATTGACATTTGGTGCCAGGCATTGGTCAATTTTCAAAATTATTATATTATGACACTGAACAACAGGAAATTTACCTGCGCTTGGAATTTCCTCACATAATCTACACCTTTCGTCCGTTGCTGTGCAAAAGCGGAAATCACAAACAGTATTAAAATCTTAACAAACTACAGTAAGATCCGCAACGACCTTAGAAATAGCGTAACTCATTCAAGAATTTGTGTTAGCATTACACAAATTTATGACTTACTTTACAAAAATAGTAAATATAAAACGTGTAGCAAGACCACGCCAAAAAGCAAAATACACTACTGTAGTTGACTCCAACATACATTGCAAAATTAAAGCATCAGGAAATGCTACGCACATTTGTCATCGTTGCACTAATGAATCAGATTAAAGGACATGACCACATGCTTTCTATCGCATATAAAAAATATATGGTCCATTGTTTCACACAATATATCGATAGTAAAAGTGCCAAGTTGCGATTCTATACCTTTATACAAAGTCAATAGTATATACATGTACGTATGTACGTATGTACGTATGTACGTATGTACGTATGTATATGTTGAGTTGTGTAATTGTACACTCCGTAATATGTTAAGGTGAAAATGTTCTCGAGTGTGTGTGATATAATTTCCATACCTAGCGTAAGCAGAAAGATAAAGTCTGCCGCGGCTGGTCTTGAACCCGCGACCTATAATCTATAATATACATACATATACATATATATATTTATGTCACCACCTTTCCTTCGAGTTTATGAGGATCAAACAGCGTTGCATTAACCGAGCTTGGTTTACTGGCATGCAGGCACAAAATTTTAGACGACACTTTTATGGGAAAAATTTTGGCTATGAATATAGTTCATAGCCGCTTTATTGAAAATATTTGATGAAATAACATATTCTCTGACATCAAAATAATACTGAAGTCTAGATTGATTATATAAGTGTTCTATAGCCAGTAAAGGTGGCAGGAATATACGCGTTAAAAAGTTCATATATATATAATTATATACAATCAGGTACAAAATAAACGCTTCTGATATTGCTGGCAGGCCTGCGGGAGGAGGTGGGTAAATTCTGAGTTCTTCACTTGACCACTGATATTGGAGACTTGCAAAATATCTAAGTTATCTTGGTTTAATACCAAGAGATCGACCTTGATGTTACGTAGTTTCAAGTGCTCTAAATTTCCTCCCTCTTCAACAGGCGCGCCAGGGATTAACATTAAATATAATTAAATTGTTACTCACTTATCTAATTAGTTCAGGTGTGACATAAAAACCCATATTTCGTGGGAAATATTTCTATTTATGTCTCCACCTTCCCTTTCGAGTTTATGAGGCAGGGGCGGATCTAGGGGTCGTCAAGTCAGTCGCGCGACTGAAGTAAAAATTGCCTACTTAATTAAAAAAATTCGACTCCAGCTATCTATAGCGGCCAGTAGATCGAGTTATTAAAATTTTGAATCGTAGTCCAGTTATACGTTTTATGCTGCGGCAGAGCTTCGGCAAAGTAATGTTAGTCAGTCACGAACAGCGGTCTTACGCATGAATGTTGACGGATTCGGGGGTTGAATCCGGCTATCTGATTGGCTGACGTTTGCGACGGATCTGTGGGGAGGCCTGACGGATTTGCAGATTCAGGGGCTCTGTATGAGTCTTCTGATTGAACCATTTAAAAATATTCTGCACTGTCATTGGCTTATATTTTCGACGGATTCGCAGCGTGGGGTATTCGTCAACACGGCATTTGGTGTTTTTTAACTCCTGAATGTTTACTATTTCGAACGTCTGGCATGTGAGAAATTTTACTATTATATTTTTACGAGCGATCTCTGCCAGCGATATCTGGAAACATTTTCGACAATATTCAGTTTGCGATTGCGGCAAGCGATTTACTAATTTAGAATCTCTACAACGTTTGTATACGGAGCTTGAAAAGTATATCGATGCTTCACGGACAAATTCTGTTGACGAGCTACTGAACGGCAAAGTGAGCGCCATCAACAACACAAGCAGAAGCCTCGCTAGAAATTTTGGCGCAGAGAGCTACATTCCGAAGTATGTTCGAGATAAGAAAGACAAAGCTTGCACTGCAATAAGGTAGAGAAATTTATGGTTTTATAATGATGTATCTTTAGTTTATATTAATTAAACCGAAGAACCAAAGCCGTCGGTGTTGTTAATGATTGTTTGACATATGATATTTTAATATTCGCTATGCTGTATTAGCATAATTCTCGCGTCAAGAAGCTAAAATATGTTTTATTCAATGTCCACATTGTAAGCATTTGTTGATTCTCGTGTTTATAGTGTAGTTTTACAGGGCCGTAGGAAGCTCTTTTCGATTGGGGGGGCTGAAAGCGAGGGCCGAAGGCCCGAGGAAATTTTTAAATTTAAAGTCTCTAAAATGCCATTTCCTGGACTTTGGGGGAAGATTTAACAGAATTCTGATAGTCAGAAAACAGCGTTTTAGTATGTCGAAATTTACAGGAAAGTATGGGCCAGACTGTAGTATTATAAATGCGCGGCGGGAATTTTCGTCGTAAATGGCAGTTGCGCGGAAATGAAGGCAGAACATTGGAGAAAATTTCGAAAATCTGGAGTCTCTAGATGGTCTGAAATGGCATTTTCAGAGTTTTCTTTCGCAAGACCCAACACGCAAAAGACAAAATAAATCATTAGTTCATCAAAAATGTGCAGATTTTGTGGGATTTTCTTGAAAATGCGCGACAGAAATTCAGCTAAAATTTCTACGCGACGAACGATCTGGAGTATGAGTAATATCTTCATTCTTTGCAGTTTGTCACAGATTAAATGATAAAGTTTGCATGATTTTGAAAAAAGAATGATTATTAGCAAATTATTGGGGGGGGGGGGCTGCAGCCCCCCCAGCCCCCCCCGGTTGCTACGGCCCTGTATTATTTAAGATTTATTTATATTTATGCATCGATCACACAACATGTCGGCCTTATAGAATACTGTTTGTCCATAGCCTATCGACACGGCTTGTTAGACCGCATTGGTCTGGTGTAACATGATGATGTGAAATATTTAATAGGAAGTGGATATTCGTCCGACATTTCCATATCGTTAAAGTCGTTAAAAATAAAACAGCGTAAATTTAATTGAATTTCAAGCGAATCCTTCGTAGTGTAGTGGTTTAGGCACCCGTATTGTGTGCGCCAAGTTCTGGGATCGATTCTTGCTCGCGCCATTATTTTATTATTTTTTTTTATACTTTTTTTTTTCTTCGTGATTTTCGCTTACGCACCGCGTACGAAACGTATAGCGTATCGAGTATGTTGTTGCTTCGTTCTTAAGAAACAACGCAACCCTTTATAGCCGTGAAGCAGGAAGATCCGGTGTCGGACGAATATCCACGGGGATTAAATTATTAATCGTTGCTGATTTAATGATGAATAATCAAATCTTTAATTCTTTTATATTTTAACAGTTAACAGGAAGGCATATGGTTCGAGATGTTTCATGTAAAAAATGCGATGCAAAACTTGGTTGGATGTATGTAAGTGTCCGAAAGCATCATACTTTACACAACATATCTCATCCATAGTTTAGCCACTAACACAGAGTGTCGAAATTGTGCACGGATTGAATTTCCAGGTCGAGTGGGTTTCAGAGTTTTTGGTTTAGAAGAACCCAACAGCTGGAATCTGAACCTATTTTCCAGTCGAAATAGGAGGAGTGAAGCAATCTAGTAACACCAACACAGAAAAAAAATATGATTACGAGATGATTGCATTGATATCGAAGGAACTGGACTCTGTTCCGAAATATCACATACTCGAACCGACCTGACCGCGCGTGTAGCTCAGTTGGCAGAGCATTGGGCTAGTATTCCAAAGGTCCGTAGGTCCGATTTCCACCGTGGCCAGGCATATTTTTCAAGCTTGTCCAGTGTGGATGCACACTCAGAGTAACATCACAAACATCATATTCACCTGAGTACATAACACCAGGACAGAAAAAATCTGAAAGAAAAGTTCCAACTGCTTAGCTGAGAAGCCACAGTATTTGCAGTTTTACACACTCGTAAAATGTGTATTCTTCCACTCGTTTTTCTCAGCATTTCTTCAAAATGTTCGTCCCATCTACTGTATCTGGTACTGATTAGTGATTCTAGATAGTGTTTTGTAAGTGGTAAACTCTACATACAATAACTAAGTCCTGTAATTTCTTTTTTCAAGGAATTTGCCGTTGAGGAATCACAACGATACAAGGTAATGTAGTGACTGGACGTTCCTGAATATTGCAAGCAGTCCCATAGAAAGTATA